TTCATTTTGTATTATTCAAGAAAGAAAAAGTGTACAAAAGCATTCGAATGACAGATCCATGTATGAAGTATTTTGAAGTATATTTTGCCTAATTATTTTCAACTGAAAGAGGAAATGCCAAATCATCCTAGTCTGTATAATTTTAACAATTCTAAGAACGTGTCCAAAATTAAAACCAAACATCAAATCCTGTTGCTCTCCTCTAGCGAGGTCTAACTCATGGCAGACTCTTGTGTTCCAGAGTAAAACTGCTTAGTATTGGTAAATGTTAAACTATTAACCACAAAGTCAGTGGTTCAAACTCACCAGCTGCTTCATGGGAGACTAATGAGACTATCTGCTCCCATAAAGATTTACAGCTCAGAAACCCTATGCAGGGTGACTGTGAGCAAGAATCAACATAACAGCAGTGCTTGATTGTGGTCATAGTCACCGAAAAAGATTGCCCGTCCTTTCTTTGGCTGTGCTGCTGTGTGGGTTCAAAACACCAATGTTTAGGGTCATTGTTGAGCACAAACTGTACCCCTCAGCTACATTACATGAATTATTATGTTCTAAATACATAGCTTTTATTTTAGGATTATATCCATTTAAACGATGTATCCATAACCTCCATGCTGATGTTTTGAAATCATCTTCCCATAAGGTTGTATGTGCAAATACCTAGAGAGCAGCTTCACACCAAATTGCACACAGGGGCCATGGACATCCCATGCTCCACGTTATTCCACAAGGGAGATCCCTACCAATATCCCAGTTTTTATCAAACTACTACTTAACCTCACCCCACGGGTAGTAATCTAGAAGTCACCTTGTATTCTTTTGATCAACTTCTACTTCTGAGGCCCTTCATCCTCTCTATCTTCTTGTTTCTGCCTCTGCGATGTTTCTACTCACCCCTCCCTCTCCCTTTAGCCTGTCACCACTGTAAGCCACGCTTTCTTCTCCGAAAATCCAGGCAAGAAGAAAGAGCCTGTTAGCTGAGCTTCTACATGTGTCTGGCTAGCCCTCCAGTCTCATCTTTCTAAGGTACCCAGAAGACCACTCTAATCATGTCTTCACCCTGTTGATTTCCTTAATTCCACGTGGCCGGTTGGATCAGAAAAGGCTCTTCTATTTAAATCCCAGAAACTTCAATAGCTGGTATCTCCCTATCTACCAAACCACATTACCCAAAGTTGTGAACACACACATTCCCTTGTGGGCGAGTTGCTTCTCTGGATGATCACAAGCCTTCGTCATCCCAAACTGCCCGTCTGTTTTCATACAGCTCTGCCCTGCAGAAAGAAAGCTCTTCGCCTGTCCCTTTATTTTTTAATTTCCCAGAGTTTTCCTCACCCCAGATCCAAGGAGCTCCATGTTCCTCAAGTAGTAACTTACCATCTCTACACCGTTCCAGCCCCTCCTTGGTAACTAATAATCTACATTTGTTTTTGCTAATTTTTGATATTTCATTTAAGTGGAAGTCATACAAATTGTCCTTTTGCGTCTGACTTACTTACGTTCATCATAATGCTTCAAACGTATTCATGTCATGTCATGTTCTAGGATTTAGTTTCTCTTTATTAAAAACAAAACAAAAAATGCTTCCATCTAGTAGATTTTGGCTTATAATAACTCTGCATATGGTTCCTACGATGGCAAATCTTTATAGGAGCAGACAGAAAGGATCATCTTTCTCTCTCAGTGGTTGGTCACTTCTGACTTATAAATCTATTTCATGTTAGATTATGCTTTAGATTGGACTTTATCATCTATTTATCTGTTGCTGGACCTTGGTTATTATAGATAATGCTGCAGAACCGTGAACGCTGGTGTACAAGTATCTGAGGAGGAATTTCATACGTGCACTTCTTTGGACTATATCCCCATGATTAATTAGGATGGCTGGGCCACAGAGCAGTTCCATGTTAAACTTTTGAGGAACCACAAAACTGTTAGTTACTAATTAGATTATTGGCGTTGTTGACATATTTTATCCTGTCAACAGGCCTGTGTCGGTGTGGTCATGAACATATAGAAAATGCTCAACAAATCTTGAACAGAAGCATGATTGGCATTTTCAAAAGTAAACAGTCAAGCAGATATTAAGACTCAAAGTCCCTCCCTAACAGCTCTACTTTTTCGACTAGCATATTATGGAAACAAGGCAAAGTGTTAGCTCTCAGTAACTTAGTATCCACATCTGAAATAAAACTATAAGTATATAAGTCACATTAGTTTCGAATTGGAAAGGAGGAAATAGGGAAGGCAGGGGTTTAGAACAAAATCCAGTTCCTTGGTTATATTTATTCAGTTTGTGAAAAACTAAGACAACTACAACGGTGGGGTGCCTTATCACTGTGGATAAGTGTGTTGGTATCAGCTGCGTGGAAGTGAGCTCTTCTCATGGTGGGCCATGGACGCAGCAGAGAAAAGACTGTCCAAACCTGTCCCGTCTCCACCATCACCCTCCAAATGTTCACGCCCATCATTCATTCCCCGCTGCCCTCCCCCCACCCCCCATGTGTTTTGAGTGGCCTTCCAGCCCACGGGCTATCTTCCAGCACTATATCATACAATAATTGATTGGGAATCCATAGGATTTATGTGGCTTGCTTTTAGATATAGATCTCCAGATCTTTTTCCTAGTCCATCTTGGTCTGGGAGCTACGCTGACACCTGTCCCCCATTATGACCCATCGGCATTTGACATGCCAGTCATCCAGTTTCAGCATTGAAGCAACACGCAAGCCACAAAAGTAGGACAGCCTGGTGGAAAGAGAAGTCCCCGAAGGCCCCAAATAGCCAATAGCCACCGCACTGCCACCCCACCTCAGTGTCTTCACACACCCACATCAGCGCGTGAGGAGGATAAGAGCAAATACACAAATAAATGAAATGAAAAAGAAAAGTGGTGAACTCAAAATACTTGTTTTCTCCTTTCAGCCCAAATCGAAGTGATACCATGCAAAATTTGTGGCGATAAGTCCTCTGGGATCCACTACGGAGTAATCACATGCGAAGGCTGCAAGGTATGGGGCCTTAGCAGAGCACTGTGCACAGCATGCGTGTTTGCCTCAGGTGTCTTGGCGCTCCACAATGCACCTGGTGATGGTTTTTTTTCTGAAGAAGAGCGGCTAATCTCCTGTGGTGGGTGGTGGGTGGGTGCTCTTTTGCCGTTCACCTTTTACTTATGGTCTAACTGGTCAGAAGCTCTCGATGTTGACTCTATCTTATCAGCAGCATCTCCAGCAACTCCCTGGGTGCTCAGTGCTATAAGGAAAAGTCCAATACGCCTGAAGTTTAAAATACAGACTGTGAATTAATAACACTTAGCTCTTTGCTTGAGAAAGGGGAAATCAAATGAAACGTGGATAGCCATCCTTTAGTTGCACATTCTAGAAAAGAACCCAAAACATGGACACACGGAATGTTGTAAGTGGCCCAGATAATGCCTCTATCAGTATAGAACTCACCCGGTCCTGTGGCCTCCCTTGAGAAAGGAGGACCGGAAGCCTCAAGAAGACGATGTCATTTGGTCAAAGCCTCTGAGATAGTCAGAGAGAGCATGGCCAATATCACAGGCTTTCCTGTCTCGGTGCAGGGTCCCCTCTCACATACACTCGCTCACTCCCTGCCAGCGGAGGGATTCTTACTCTCGGTGACCCTGTGGGACAGGGTAGGACTGCCCCGTGGGTTCAGAGACTGTAACTTTTTATGGGGCAAGAACACCTCATCTTTCTCCTGTCAGACATTCTAAGAAGCTTCAAACGGTTCCTTGAAACATTCCATTATATGTTCATTTCATTTTTTCCACAATTTTTTTGAAGTCTACCCATCATACCAAATCCCTTTAAGTAAGTTGTTGTCCAAATACAAAGCTGGCAGATAACCATTCAGTTAGGCCTCATCTGAGTCCCGGCTAAACACTCCGTGATGCACTAAAAGGTTGGCACTTGAACTCACCACCTACCTTTTCAGGAGAAAGGCCTAGAGACCTGCTTTTATAAAGATGATAGCCAACAAAACCTGTGTGACAGTTCTACTGTGTGACATAGGACCACGCCCCCAAACAAAACAAAACCCATGGCAATGGAGTTGACTCTGACTCACAGCGATCCTATAGGGCAGAGTAGCATTGCCCCTGTGGCTTTCCAAGACTCTAACTCTTTAAGAGAGTAAAAAGCCTCCCCTTTCTCTTGAGGAGTGCCTGGTGGATTTGAACTGCTCACTTTGAGGTTAGCCGTAACCCGCTCTACATAGCATCACTGCTCCCCATTGCGCCACTGTGGGTCTGCCCTGAGTAAGTGATACCTCATGGTAATGGTCTGCAATCAGAGTCTCTGGGTGGCACAAATGGTTAAGCACTAGACTACTGGCAAAGGTTGGTGTTACAAATCAACTGTAGGCACCCTGGGGGACAAGCCTGGTGGTCTGATTCAAAGGTTGCTGCTTTGAAAGCCCTGTGGGGCCACTCACAACGCCCCCTGGGCGTCTTCCTGAGTCAGGAGAGAGTCCACGACAACCCGCACCCCAGCAACAATCTGAGAGAAGCATTCGAAACCTAGCAGTCATTTTTCAAATTAATCTTTAGAAGGAAAGGAAGAGAAACTAAATATCAAGGAAGGATAAAAACGGTTCTACAACTAATAGAGGCCAATGTGTAACCTTAACAAATAAGAGGCAACTAGCTACCGTCTGGGAGGGAAAAGGTTATGCTCCTGCATAGTTTTTGGTGAGATAAAATTTTCTTAACAAAGAGCAAGCAAATGCAATCATTAATTTAATGTCCGTGAGCCGGAGTACAGTCGTAGGTTCTAAAATTCGATCTTAATCCTGGGAGATTTTTGAACATGAATGAAATAGAAATGACCGAGGCTGTCAAGCAGTGATGCCGTGTGAAAAGTTGATGATGATTTCATAATATGTCTCCTGGAAAGGAGGCTACAGGGAAGGCAAATGCGGAGAAATAAGTGAGGATAAGGTGAGCAAGGGAGAGGTGCGGAGATGGGAGCATAACTAATGAACTAACCAACCATCAACATGCTGCCAGCTTTATTAGCAAGAACCCATGTTTGAACATCACGAGATGTTCCTGGAGGCATGTAATTAAGAGCAGGTTATCCACCACAATGCCATGTTTTCAACTCTTCAAGAAGAAACAATAAAGCAAAGGTACAAGCCAGCATTTTATTTTTTACTATCCTGGAATAAATTATTACTTCCTCTGGGAAGAGAGAGAATTTGTTTTCTTTGTAAACAACAATAACTTTGGAATCAGAGCCCTCTCCAACAAATGCATTTCTACCACACCACTGGCTTGTTATGTACTTATAAAAGCTCTGGTCCAATTGGTATTAGATCCACTGAAAATTATTTTTAGATCAATTTTATAGAGGACGTGTTTTGTGTTTCTTGTGAAGACTCTATTTGGAGAATGATTGCTTTTAAAATATGTGGCAAAAAATAAAAATAAAAAAAATGTGGCAAATATGTTAAGGAGCAAAATATTTTAAATAGATCTATTGGATTATATTTGTCCAGTAGTTCGAATCTTTTAGAAGTGACTAAAGGCTTTTCTCTTACCATCTATACTTTTCTCTGTAAAAGAGGAATCAATAATCAAAGAAAGTTTGCTTTTATTATAAAGCATACTCTGAGGTTATAGTAAAAATGGCATTATGCTCGTGTGCTTTTTTTTAATTTCATGAAAAAAATCCACGTTTGCAAACAAGCTACATTTTTTCTAAGTAGAAAAGTCAAGAAATCCTGACCAGAATCAAACGTCAGTGCCTATCATTCAGTATCGATCGCTAAATCTCGTAGTGTTGCGGTGTCAATCCAAACAACGCATTTTGGACAACATCCGTTTGGTCTGTGCATTCATTCAAACTCGTTCTCAACAAAAGTTGAAATAGAACTGTTTTTTCATGCAAAAATGTTCAATTGCAATCATGAGCATCAGGTAAGGGGAAAGTGACTCATAATTAATGTCATGTTCACATTAAATTAGGATTGTAGCTGGAACTTCAGAGGATTTTCTGCCAACGCGTTCACTAAGTTGCACTTGAGTCCCCAAAGATTAAAGCGTGTGTGCGGGCTCGCGTGCACACACACACACACACACACACACACTGATTTCATGAAATGTTAGTTTTTAGTCATCTCTAATCAGGACAGAGGACCTGAGGTGGCGTTTCTGATGCCTCTCGTGGCACGTGGAGTGTACATCGCTTCAATCACTGGGGGCTTGGGTATGATTTCTGCTTCAGGGCGCTCTGAGTTCAACCAATCCGGTCAATCAGCATATCATTCTACTCTCATGGTCCATCCGATACATCAAATACATGGCTCCGCAGGACGAAAGCTAGTCCCTGCTGAATGAGTGCGTAGTCAGAACCACACTACAAATGGAGACTCTCTCTTACCTAGCCACACATCACTTCCTCACAAAAGGCTAAGATATCTCCATGCAGATCCCAACTGGAGTCTGAGGCAGAAGGAAAACTCAGTGATGCCGTTCCTGTCTTTATTAATATGTTTGCATTAATGTTGATCATTGAACATATTGTGTTCGATATTACTTATCTGCATTACTGAGTTTTCTGGTCTCTTAAATTTTATGTCAAATTTTGTGAGGCAGCATAATTGCATCCTAAGCCTCATGCAAATCCCAGTCCTACTTTAATTCCGGTCAATAGTTGAAGAGCCGCAGACACCATTTGATGATAGTCTAGTAAACTATTCTAGCCTCTTTGTAAGATGAACGTTGAGCTTACTGTGTCTGATCTTCTCAGAGCTTGTCCTAAAGAATGTTCCTGGGAGTTACTGGTTCCTAAAATGCCACTTCATGAAAATAGTCTCCTAGACCATCATCCTGTTCTTGGTTCTTTGTGCTTCTGTTACGTTGTTCAAGAGCCAAGAGTGAGAACAGAGTTCTATTAAATAGGTGAATGAATGGATGAATAACACTTTCAAACTGCTGGATAAAATGTTTATTTTCTCAAGCAGGTTTCTGGAACATATTCAAGGCTCATTTTTAAAGATTTTAAAACAATACACTCAGTCTGGGTACTGTATGGTCCATTACAGTTCATTTTGCACCAACAAGACCCAAACAAATTTACCTTCCTGAGAGCAATGAGTCACAATGCACTCGATGAGAGTGGGTTTTTGTTTACAGTCACCCAAGGACAACAGAGAACTTTGATTCAGCTCTTAGTTGTTGCTTATGTTTAATTGAATTGCTTATAGTCTATACTTCTCTCATTTCAGTGATGTGGTTGATTACAAGAGACCTCATTGGCTTGAAGTCAGCTTTCCAGATGCATCCTTGCCAAATTCATACATTTTGTCATGAAGGAAAGCACACATTAGAAACAAGAAACATGAAAGTCCCTGCTACCCATGTTTTCGCTCTCAGTCCCCGCAAGTCCCCACCGTACCTGAGAGCACTCACAACATCAGTAAACTGGGAATGTGTGAGATCTTCTTAGCTCTCTCAGTGGTTCAAGGAGAGGTAGACAAACATGTTTTGATGGAACTCAGTGGTGTACACTGCCAAAGATCAAGCAAGTATCCGTGTTAATGTGCCCTCTGATTCCCTCTGACACGTCTTTCCCCCTCCCATTCTCCGTTTCCCTCTAGGGATTCTTCAGGAGGAGCCAGCAGAACAATGCCTCTTACTCGTGCCCACGGCAGAGAAACTGTTTGATTGACAGAACCAACAGAAACCGTTGCCAACACTGCCGACTGCAGAAGTGTCTTGCCCTAGGAATGTCCAGAGATGGTAAGGCATTGACTTCCTTGTTCTTACTTAAACGCTTTCAAATGGCTGCTTTGCCAGAGTGTATTTAAACCCTTGGTAGAATTCTAGGGAAGAGCACGGGAGGTAGGCAGAATGAAAAAGCACAGCCCTGGTGATGCATTAAAGGGAAAGTATGAAAATATAAAAATATAGTATTTTCTATGAAGAATAAAGGGAGTCTCTTACTGTGGCTCTTGGTGTTCCTGCGCTACCTAGGCTAAGCGAAAGCCAGGTAAGCCTAGGTTGTAAAGTGACCAACTGCTCAGACTTTCCCTGAGACTTGAGGCTTTCAGTGATAAAATAGGAAAATGCCCAGGTGAGCTAAGCCAGGACAAATTGGTCACGGGATAGACCTAATTGGATAAACAAGTATGTGAAGATGCCCAAAACAGAACATGCTTTTAGAACAGTAGTTCTCAAACTTCCTAATGCCGCGGCCCTTTCATACAGTTCCTCATGTTGTGGTGACCGCCCCCCCAATCAGAAAATTATTTTTGTTGCTACATCATAACTGTCATTTTGCTACTGTTATGAATTGGGCAACCCCTGTGAAAGGGTCATTCGACCCTCAAAGGGGTCACGACCCACAGGTTGAGAACTACTGTTTCAGAAGCAGCCCAGAAGTTCTGATTGCTAGTCTTGATAGGTATGTTAATCTGGGTATATTAGAGAAACAAATCCACAGAAACTCATGTATAAGAGAGAGTTTTATATAAAGGTTAAGTGCACATCAAGAAAACATCCCAACCCAGTGCTGCCCAAGCCCACAAGTCCAACATTAACCCATATGTCCGACACCAATCCACAAAGTCCTCCTCCATCTCACAAAACAGTCAGAATGGCGCCGACTGCCGGAGGAAAGCCGAGTTAGTGAATGTTTAAGCATCTCAGTGCTGACAGGGGTCTCCACATGGCTGCTCCAGCCCCCAGGGCTGCATCAGAGTAGGTCCATGCAGCTTCTCCTCAGGGATGTCTTTCAGAAAGAGAGACTTGCCAGCTGAAGCAGGGAACTGCTAAGGCAGCTGCACCCTGGTCTGACCATCAGAAAGCAAGACACCTGAGAACTAGAAAGGCGAGGTTCACCGAGCCATTTATCTCTCCACCCTTCAATTAACCCCACATGTGTTTATTGGCCAGGTTGACACAATAAACTACCTACCTAAATAGGATATGGATTTATCTGCGCCTATGCTAAGGAGCCCTTATGGTGCAGTGAGTGCTTTAAGCTGCTAATGTTAAGGTTGAGGGTTCAAACCCATCAGTCCCTCCATGAGCCAGTTTGCTTTGTAAAGATTTTCAGTCTAGGGAATAGGTCTGCTTTGCCCTATAGGGTCATTATGACTCATACATGACTCAGTGATTGAGGTTTTTGTTTCATTTGGTTTGTTTTTGTTTGGAACCTCCATCATACATTGCAAAAGTTACAGCAAAAGCCTAAGTTACACAAGGGATGTGTGGGTAAAGTATGCTACTCAGAACTGACACACAATTGTCACCTTTAACCCCAACCCAGTTGGGTGGTTAGCTCCCAAACTGTACTTCCTAGATTAATGAAAGGGAACAAATGAGTTCAATCAAGATGAACAAGGAATCTCGCCCAACTTTGATTCCATTTATAGGCATTACCTTTGGCAATTCCATCCCTGCACACACTGGCCACACCACTCCTGTGCTGGATTACAAGTGACCCTGAGTCTTGGGGAGATTAATATCTGGTCCTCCTATATCCACAGGACTTAGTAAAAACAAGATATTCGTTGAATGGCCATAAGATTTCTTCTATCTAGAGCCCGAGAGGGAGACAGTGTCCCTAACATAGTACCTCTTCATGAGAACTGTTGCGGATTCTATTCCCAGTCAAACTCACTCTAGTGAAGCTCAGAGCAAGGTGTGCAGAGGGAAAAAGAAGGAAAAGACACCGTCTAAATTTAAAAATGTTTACATAATTGGCATGCACTGGCCCTTTGTCTGAGGAGGTGTGTGTGTTGTTAAGGGTAAGGCTTGTTGGTGTTTTGGATAAGGATCCCTGGTTATTTGTAAGGGGCTGCTAACTGCAAAAACAACAGATCAAAACCACCAGTTGTTCCGTGGGAGAAAGAAGTGTCTTTCTGCTCCTGGGAAGATTTATACTCTTTAAAACCCACTACCCTGCCTCTTAGGGTCACTATGAATCAGGGCAGTGAGTTTTGGTTTGAGTTTTAGTCTTTTGGAGGGAGCCTGGCTGTGTAGTAGGTTATAAGATGGACAGCTAACCCAAGGTCAGCAGTTCAATCCCACCAGCTGCTCCATTGGGAAAAGAAGAGACTGTCCACTCCCCTAAAGATTCACAGTCATGGAAATCTTACAGAGCTATACAGTTGCTCTGAGTTGGCATAATCTCAACAGCAACGGGTTTGAGTTCTTTGGTCACCGTTTCGAATGAGCTCAACTTGGCCCTTATCTTGCTGTCAAGACATATAAACTGCTTCTTTCTTCATTTGCCTTCTCTGAAGAAGTCCACATTCAATTTTGGGCGACCCTTTCTCTAATTCCCAATTCACCTAAACTAAACCAACAATACACCAGTAAAACATATTTGACCCCTTTTATCTCAAAACAGAAATTGAAAAGAAAACTATTTCTGAGCCATTCAGCTTGTCAGTAGCTTGTGAAGTTATAGAGCTACGCTTCACAACTGATCAACTATTATCTAAGTGGGGGGTGTGTGTGTGTGTGTGTGTGTGTGTGTGTGTGTGTGTGTGTGGACTTGCTAACCATGTACATGTAGTTCTTGGGTAAATTTAAACCATTGTGCACTTTCATATAATTAAGGGAAAGAATGTGGAGGGTGGGAGTTAAGTGATTTCTGTTGGGATTTATATGGCGAAATTCCATGACCATTTGAGTTGATAGTTATGTACCTCATTTGTTTTATTATTGATTCTGACAATAAAAAGCAGCATTTCCTCTAAAGGCATTGGGCAGCAAATAGTGGATGGTCCAAAGCAGCTTCCGCAGGACCCCATAGTGTATGGTGAGAGGATACAACCCTGGTTCACAACATCCCTGATTTTAAATCATGCAGTAATCCCTTGTTCTGTTCACACAAGCTGCTTCTTGATCCATGTACAAATTCCACATACACACAACAAAGTGTTTTAGAATACCTATACTCCTCAAAGTTACCCATCGTTTGTCGAATGCCTTCCTGAATCCATAAAATCAGTAAACCTCTTTCTGGTATTCTCAGTTTTAACCTGAGCTACATCTGACATCAGCAATGATATCCTTTTCTCCACGTCCGCTTCTGAATCTTGCCCGAACCTCTCTGGCAGCTCCTTGTCGATGTACTGCTACAACGATTGTTGGATAATCTTCAGAAAAACGTGCCTGCATGTGCCGTCAGTGATATCGCTCGGTAACTTAAGAAACTGTTCAGTCCCTCTTCTTTGGCATGGGTATCAAGACGGTTCTAGCCGAGTCAGTTGGCCAAGCAGCCGTCTTTCAAATTCCTTGGCATAGACCTGCGAGTGCTTCTAGTGCCTCATCAGATTGTTGAAATATCTCAATTGATATACCATCACTCCTGGAGCCCTGTTCCTGGTGGAGTTTGAACTTCTTCCTTCAGTCCCAGTGGTTCTTGCTCGTATGCTACCTCCTGACATGGTGAAATGTTGACTAAGTCTTTTTGATGGAGTGGCTTTGTATCCTTCACCTCTTCTTTTGAGGCTTCCTGAATTATTAATTAATGGCAATGTAGAGGGGATAATAACCAGGGTGGTGACTACAATCGAGCCATCGCAAGGCATAGTTCACATAAATATAAAGCATGAAGTATATAGAAACCTAAAACAAGGTTTAAATGGGAAGGAATTTTAAAATATGTACCATATCTCTGCCCCTATATTTAAGTTTCTCATTCTGAATGCTTTATCCTTAAAAATCAATAAAAGTAATTTTACTAAAATAAGTCAGAAATGTGTCTTTACCTACTGAAATAAAAATCTTAACTATTACAAATAGAGGGTTGCTGTGAGTCAGAATCCTACTTGACAGAAACAGGCTTTATTATTGTTTTGGGTTTTTTTTATAAATAGATATGAATTTTATATTTGGAGCTACACTTATGCAAAGAAGTGCTATTCTGAACCAAAATTAATGTGAGGGACTGAGAGTCCACAAATAAAGCAGCAGATCCCAATATATTTTAGGAGAAAAATATTCTTCCTGGATAAAAACATGCCACACTTTCTTGTTACTTTTGGGGGCTTTTGTTTTTGGTATATAAAAGTATTATGTTAGATAGTGCTGCCTAGCAAACTATTTGGAAGGATTTAACATTCAGGTACATTGAAACTTGTCCACTAAAACTTATCTATAGAACCTTTTCCGGGGGGAAAACCGAAATATCACTGTAATTAATAATCAAATAAATCTGTCTCTAGGGGAAACTATCTAATAAAGGCAATGTCTCTGCAAACAAGGTTAAACATATTGGTTTAAAAAATTCAACTGAGGTAGAAAAGGGAAGTTTGGTCAGAATTAACCAGATTGCCTACCTTTCCTCAGAGAAATCACTGGATAATTCCCACTTTGGTTTCCTACTTAGGCTGTGTCCAAACACCATAACACGGGGTTCTAATAAGGAATAAGGAGAACGGTTGAAAAGCAAGGTTTTTACTCTGAAGACTAAAGTGTGCTTGATCAGCCATGGTATTTTCAATGGCCTCATAGTCGTGAAGAAGTTGAAGATTGAATAAGGAAGACAGAAGAAGAGTAGATACATTCGAAGTCTGGTGCTGGGGAAGAAAGGTGAAAGTATCATGGACGTCCAAAAACCAACGATAGACTTCGATCTTTGAAGAAGTACAGTCAGGGTTCTCCTTAGAAGCAAAGATGGCAAGATTCTGCCTCACATATTTTGGACGTGTATCAAGAGAGACCAGTCCCCGGAAAAGGCCATCATGCTTGGTACAGCAGAGGGACAATGAAAAACAGAAGAG